AAGAAGTTTCGATAATGTTATAATGGTTGATATGCGGTTCAAAATGTGTAAAATCGTTTTCTCTACAATATGTGATCATAACGAAGTCGAAAAAGCAGTGGGCCAAATGCAGTGGAAAAGCGGGCGCCCTCCTTTCTTTTTTCCGTACAGAAACCACCGAATATTCCAAATCGCACATGAATCGATGCAGAATAACATGCTGCATCTAATAGAGCCGCTAAATCGTACTTTTGAAAATTTCCTAGACGAAGATCCTCTAAATACGATTAAAAAATGACTTCTTCATTAGTCATTTTGCTCCTCTGACACTCTTAGCATTCGTGTCGCAGCGTGAAACTTTGTCAGTAGATGCATCGGCTCACGTGCTATCGAACGATGTGTCTTGGAACGATAAACCAGGTGTACAAAGGGGTCAAAATATCGAAATACTTCGTTTATACCATTTGAAAAATATTAAATGTAAATTTTTAATAGAAAATTCAGTTTTTTCAAACTAAAGATCGGATTCGTGATCAGCATGAAAAAATACGTCTGGTGTTGGGCTCCCGTCGATTTCCCGATGGAAAAACTGAAAACAAAGCTGGTTCGGCGAAGTGTCACGTTACGTGGAAAAGCCTAGAATAGAAAAGACTGATAATAGTTTCCAATGAAATCAGTCTTCATTTGGCTCTTTCGGTATTATTTTCAACAAAATACAATAAAATAGTCGCAGAAAATGTAGCTCATATTTATTTTCCATTAAAAGTCATTTGACCGATTGAAAAATTAGAATAAGGTCTGGTAGACCAATTAAAAGTTTGAATTGGACTGGATCGACTATTTATCCGCCGATCATAAACCAGCATCATATCAGATCGATAAAATATCGATAAAAAGGTTTTTTAAAAACTCGCCGTCTCTGCTCAGAATCGATGATTTTTCAAATCTTTTTTGCAGTTTGTAAAGAGAAAGCTAAATTACAATAAACACTTCTAATGAGAAGAGTTTCTGAACATTTTAGAAATAAAAAAAAGAAGACAACTGTCATTGTCAAATGTTCAAATATGTCCATTTTAAAAGTCAAACACCTAAAGAGAAAAGACTGCGTTCGAAGAAACTTTTTTCTACTACGTTTACTAATCATATAAGAATCTCTCTCAGACTTATAACATACAGTGTTAAATAGAAGACCCGGGTCTTTTAATATGAGCAGGAGAAGAATGTGTAGTCGTTATTCATGTTACACATTTAGTATTGTACATACTGCTCATATGTTACATTTCTTATTTACATATGCCTCATTCTATTGTCTGTATGTTCTCCCTTTCTGCATCTAACAATTTCTGTATTGTAAGAAAAATGTCCAATCATCCATTTACTTCTGTGGCTTCGAGCGGAAACACGAAAAAGTCAGCATTCTCCGACATAATATGCGCAGCTAAGTTAGAGAAATTCACTAGTAACAAAAACTTTACGTAGTTTTTTGGCGGAGATACTCTAGTTTTTGTGAAAAAATTTTCCACACTAAATATCTTGTCATCGATTGAAACTTGTTCTACTTATAACTCCAGTTCTATTTGAGAAACGATCTTGAAATTTTTACCACAAAACGCGATTTGCAAGTTCTCTATACGGCAAAAAATCAAGACTTAATCCTATGTGGTTCGTTCGTAATCTCACTTTCTTTTCAAAAATGTTCCGTCATCATTTTTTCTGAATTTTGTTTTGTCATCAATTTTAATTTATTTTTCTTATAACTTGACTTACACTCATCCGATTTCGTTCAAATTTTTATCATAAATCAAGTTTCGTACATATTCCATGTAGTAAAGAAATTACAGCTTCAGCTTGTACAATTTGGCTGAAAATTCAAAATTTCGTTTTTTTCGTTTTGCCACGACGGGCTGGAGTGACCTTCCATCTAATTGAGTGAAAGGTCTCTCGTGCCCGTCAGATGAAATGATAGTGTGAAAACACATATTTCCGTAATGCCTGGGATCAGAACTGATTGTCCAAATATGTGAAAAAAATTTCGAATTAAGTTCATTTGTAAACAATGTTCACCTCAACAGTACATTACGTTTGCAATTCTCCCATACATAATGTAATAAGAATTTAGTTAGTTGTTGTAAATTGTAAGTTTCGTTTGTTTGGTTTATAATAAACACGAGAAATTGTATTTGATTATATCTGACTATTTCGTTATACATTGGCTATCCTGTAAATCCATCTTATTTGCATCTTTTGATTGAACCCAGTCTGAAGTGCGTTGATTCGTTATTATTATTTGTCAATTTTACTTCGTTATATGTTTTTTGCTAATTTTATTTATTTTGTTATACATCTACTTCCAAGCAGTCATATTTATAATAACACTGATTTCGTACCTATTTACTACTCTCTTTTTTCTGATCAAGCTCAATTGCAGATGAATTATAAGTATTGATCCAATTTGTTCAATATTATAATAACCATACGATACATTTGATTAGTATCATTATCACCCATTATCAATTCAATATTTATAAAATTGATTCAACGTTAAGTATATTTACTTAATAACCACACGTTCTCGTTGGTCAATATCATTACCCACTATCCATTCATAGTCAATATTCCAACCCTATCTTAACTCCCATGAATATACGCTATCCGTTCCTCATTACCGCAGAGTGTCCTTCCTGTCTGTTTTATGCTACTACCTCTCAAAATTAAACAATCTAATGTGTTTCTGATACTCTCCGTAGTACTAACTATAAATCAGTGAATTACACTAATGCCCAAACCAAGTCGTTGTAAGTAAAATTGCAATAAACTCTCTCTTAGTTCTGACAAGACCAGTTTCGACTATGGTAGAATATATTCTCGTAGGCCTTCCACATTGCTAGTTACCACCTTTGATTGATTACACAGCTAATATGTGAACCAAATAAATATGAAATTCAGTTCTATGACGGTGAAAGTCTCCTTGAGGATTGCTATATTGTTGCCTTATCTTATACCTCTCCATATTCACTAGGACATGATTATTTATACAAACTTAGATAAGAAAATGGTGATGTGACTTAAGAACCATCTAACGAGGGAACGTTCCGAGGTGACACCACCCGTTTTCCGTCGTTCATATGCTATTCGATAGAGTATATGGAGGTATGAAAAAGCCTAAAAGGATCAGTGCCCTTTTAGCTTTCTTCGAAAGTTATAGGCATTTTGCTGAGTTTCCTAGCGGAAAACGTGAAAAAATGAAAAATTCGTAACTCCATCAAATAACCACGAAATCGCTTGAGACTTTCAAACAACATGAGTCTATCTATTTAGGAAATATGCCCAAAGTTTCAGACCTCTACGTTGCTTCATTCAAGGTCTGTAGATTTTTCTTTTTTCTTTACCTCTGCTTTATTTTCCAACAGTACAATATACAAACGAATTTTAAAAATAAGGTTTTTCAACAGCCCATAACTTTCGAAGAAAGCTAAAGGGGCAGTAATCCTTTTAGGCTTTTTCATACCTTCATATACTCTATCGAATGGCATATGAACGAAGGAAAACGAAGGGTGTCACCTCGGAACGTTCCCTCGTAAGATAGAAGTTTAAATAGACCACATACAAATATCTTCAACCCAAGTTGTAACAAACAATACGACGCACAATCCACAACTGTATTATCAAATTCGTACAGGAGATATCAATTTTTATTGGATTCAGGGTTTTAAACTGGTAATAAAAGAAAGGTTTTGAACTAGAAATAATCTAAAATTCATTCGAATTTTCTAACATTTGATTTACATTATTCATTCCTTGAGTTTAATGTATTTTCAGTTCATTTTTTATAAAGTGAAAAGCTTTTACTGCATAATTCAAACGAATATTTTTTATTTTAGACAAATGGAATCCTATAGCAATAACAATTGCTGGTGGAAATAGCAAGGGTTCAAATGCAAATCAATTAGATGATCCTTGGGGTATCTTTGTGAATAATGAGAACAATACTTTGTATGTTGCAGATTCATGGAATGAACGTGTACAAAAGTTTCAAGTAAATTCTATAAATGGCATAACCTTTGCAGGTGGAAATGGTTATGGTCAATCAGCAAATCAGTTTAAATATCCAACAAGTATATATGTAGATAGTCATGAAAATATTTACATTGCTGATAGAGATAATTATCGTATACAAAAATGGACTAAAGGTGCTAAAAATGGTACTACAGTGGCAGGAGGAAATGGTGAAGGATCACAAGATAATCAATTTAACAAATGTTTTGGTATGTATATGGATAATGATGATAATATTTATGTATCAGATGAGGGTAATCATCGAATAATGAAATGGACTCCTAACTCCAAATATGGTATAATTGTTGCTGGTGGGAATGGTTATGGTTCAGCTAATAATCAACTGAATGAACCAATGGGAATATATGGAGATAAATATGGAGATATATATATATCAGATAGTTTGAATAATCGTATCCAAAAATGGTCTAAAAATGCTAAAAGTGGTGTAACAGTTGCTGGTGGACATGGAAAAGGATCAAATGATAATCAATTAGCTAATCCATCCAGTGTTATAGTTGATGATTATGGTAATATATATATATCCGATACTCGAAATCATCGTATACAAAAATGGGCTCCAAATGCAACAAATGGTACAACAATAGCTGGTGGTCATGGTGATGGAAATAGTGCACAACAATTAGCTTATCCATCTGGAATAGCATTAGATGCAAACGGTAATCTCTATGTTGCTGATAATGAGAATAATCGTATACAAAAATTTGTTAAAATTTGATTTTACATAATATTTTCCCAAGTAAGTTGTTTTTCTTCAATATTTTCTCACAGATTTGTATGAGTTGAACATAATTATTATATTTGAAATGTAAAATGTCCAAATAAAAGCTTTTTACTAATGTTCTAGAATTTATATGAATAAATCAAAAACTCTATTATATAAAATGGCGCTTCTAAGTTATAGCATGATGGGATCATTCTTGCATCAGATATTATAGATTGTAAACATTGACGACAGTAGCTAACTCTATAGATATGTAAGTTAGTTATGAATCAATTGCCTGAAACACTGGCCATATCACAAAAATATTTCAGTAACTAAGACTTCAGAGGTTCTTCTTTTCTATTTGAAATATTTGATCTTCTTTTTTTGTCCGGAAACACTATAACGGAAAAAATTCCAAAAAGTTTGCTAAACAGTAAGTTAAAATGAACTAAAATTTCCAGTGAATGTGAATCTTAATGGGTTAGAATATGAAGTTTTCATGAAAACTGCATTTCGCTATCGAGATATGGATCTTTCAGATATAACAAGAGATCGAAACTAACAGTGCAGCAAGCTCCAGGATACGCTCCGTGTACGCGGAGGCCTTCTCGAGTAGGGTTTCACCATTAGTCAGACCCAGTCTCGACCAGTCGCCATCCCTAATGTTCAGTAAAGCGACTTAGAACACAATGTTTTACTGGTAAATGAACAATTTCACTATCAAGTCGTTTAGATACATTATCAATAATAAATTCTTTTGGTTATGTATAAGCATATGGCAATTCAAATAATTCAGATTTTGTATTGTTGTAGAAATGGAACGTTATGAGAATTTAACCATTCAAGTATTTTTATTGTTCCATGACCTTAATGGAATTATACTTTCTTCTATTTGTTGGTAATGCCATGCCGCCATTATCAAGAACAATGCATATTTTTTCATTAACACCTAAAATTAAGAAAAATGATTCCTCTTCCAATACATAACATAAACCATCTCGAAGTGGTAAAAAGTCAAAGGTCTTTCTGTCATTGAATAAGAAAAACGTAGCCGCTGCTCTAAAGCCGTAAAAATTCTGGCTATTTTTTCAAGTTTTCTTGTAAGCGGAATCTTTAAGCTGAAAACGTAAGTGCGACAGGATGGGCTTCAAGAGCTCACACTGAGCTCTATAGAAACAAGTTGAAAGAGTCTAACTCGAAATAAAAAGTAGGTGAATAAACAATCCACTAAACTTAAAAAACCCATACCCATTTCTGACGTTGCAGGAACGGAACAAATCCAAGATAGAGCCGATGAGATTCTGTCTACAGACAAAGAAGTCAAAGGAAGAGGGAAACTGCGCGATGCTACAAGAAATCGAGAGACGGGATTTTAGTCGGCACATTTCTTTTTTTGTTCGTGTAATGATTCTATAGTTGCAATCAACAGTTAGATTGTAACTTTGTCGTTCTGTCGACGACCAGACTATTTACTTTTGGATTTAACTCTCTCATGTTGGAGAAGAGTAAAACAATATCGTTCTCTTTGTGTTATAAGTATTCATTTCTAATCCACATTCTCTTTTAGTTTGAGAATTAAGATATGATATTATTACTGCTCTTCGTTAATCTCTTTCCAAACGTACTAGTACAATCAGCAAAAAACAGTACAACCATCTCCACAATCCCTACAGGAGCATCTCTAGCACAAACAAATCTCAATACACTTCCAAATAACATACTATTCAATCAGTGGAGATCCCAGTATCATTTTCTAGCACCAAACTCATGGATGAACGATCGTAAGTAAACAAACGCTTTCTCGAGTGACTAGTCGTCTATTTTTCTTGAGTGATTCTCTCTCTTCTATGAAACTAAAATTATCCTATAACCAAATCTAAAAACTATAGGAATTCTTTCTTCCTCTATTTCTAGCTTGTGGTCCAGTCTACCACTCTCCTTCTCAAACCTATCATCTCTTCTATCAATGGAATCCACAACATATCAAGTGGGGAAATATCTCATGGGGCCATGCTACTTCGAAAGACTTAATTAAATGGACTGACGTTCCTCTTTCAAATAATAACTACATGACCCCAGGAATTTCGACCGAAGCAAACTCCACGTATGACAATCTCGGTATCTTCACCGGCACTGCACAAACACTCTCGAACGGTTCAATCCTAATTATTTATACATCAGTTCGTCACTTACCAATCAGTTGGGCTCTACCCTATATCAACAACTCGGAAAGTCAAAGTTTGATTCTTTCAAATGATAATGGAACGACATGGCAACGTTATGCGAATAATCCAGTGATTGCTACTCCACCACCGAACGTTAATATCACTGGATTTCGCGATCCATTCTTACAGAAATGGCGAGAGATGGATACTCTGTTGAATAACTCCAATAACTGGTATGTCACAGTCAGTTCTGGCACTAAAACAAAGGGAACCAATTTATTTCTCTACACAGCTTCAGACAACACTATTCAAAATCTAACCTATCTTGGTAATCTCATCAGTCTAACTGAGAACTTCACTTTCAATGAAAACTGGTCAGGCACATGGGGTTTTAATCTTGAAGTAGCAACTGTATTTTCACTCAACGAAACAGTGGCAGATGGCGGAGAAGAGGGCGTAATGAGAACCTACGTAACAGCAGGGAGTGAAGGTGGAAATACAACATTGCATACAAGTGCTCACTGGTCGGTTTGGGCTGAAGGATTGGTGATTAATGATAAGAATGCCTCGGCCTATATGACCTTGAAATCAGGCGGTGTAGCTGACTGGGGTGCTACCTATGCCATGCTCTCGTTTCTCGATTCCCAGGAGAGACGAGTGTTCTTCGGATGGGTCCCAGATGATTTTAATGACTATGCTCTGACTCAAATAGGATACAACGGCCAGTTCATTCTTCCACGACAGGCTTTCATTCAAGTTACACCTGATATCACACCTGGTAGTCTTCCCTCTTCCCTGCTCACTTCAGGTCCGTTTACTGTTCAAGCTCAACCAAATGGACTGTGGCGTGTGCATACGCTTGGTTTTCGTGTTCTTCCCGAGTTTACTACTTGGTTCAATTCACTCAGTTCCGTTGTAACATTTCTTAATAATCAAATGGTGACAAATAGTTCCACCCACCTTCTCTCTAACTTTTTAACTTCAAATCGGTATGAACTGAATGTTACAGTCATGAACTACACTACCACTTTCCCTACCATTACTATCTATCTCGCTACTGATCCTCAATACCAAGAGTACACAATGCTAACATACAATTTCATGACCTACGATCTCACTATTATTCGAACTCACAGCTCTCTCATCACTCAATTCGATAGCTCAACTGTCTATGCAAAACATTTTCTATTTTCTAACAAAGAATCACTACAATTACGTATCTTCTTGGATAATTCCCTACTTGAAGTGCACGCTAACGAACGTACATCACTTGCAACACATATTTATCCGGTTTTGAATACATCAACACAAGTCGGATATGCAGTCAGCAATGGTGCAGGAGTTCAGGTAACAGTTATAGGAAGAGACCTGTCGAAAGCAAATGTATGGCCACAACGTCCAATAAATACAAGTGTACCATTGGTCTACGATACAGCAGCAGAGACGAATAATTATACCTATTGGACTGGAAATTAGAGTGACTGACTTTCTCTCACATAAAAACAAACTCAAATAAATAGCTAGAAAAATTTATTTTTGACACAGCACTGCAGGTCTACTTTTTATCACATAATCAGCGGTCATCACTACTGCTGCTGGTTTTTCTTTCAAAGGCAAAGACGTTGTAGTGGTAGTAAAAGCTTTCGTCGGTGTTTTAGGGACAAAGCCGCTAACTGTTGACAGAAGTAGAATCTTATTGACGAAAGGTTGCTCAGAACTCGTTTCTTGTGGTCAGTTTTTTGATTAACTGCATTTTATTGAACAAGTCATTAACGACTTTCTTCTGTTGTGGACTGAATTGAACTTCAAAAACTAGTGCGGTTTTTTATACCAGGCTTGATGTCTCTCTATCTGCCTTACTTGGAATCGTATTCCAACTGCACTCCCTAACACCATCCAAACCAGTTCTTTCTCAGCTTTAGCTAAATCCTTATAATATTTGGTTTTCTTTGTCATCTTTGTCTTACACGATTTTAAATCATTCTTATCCAGCGATCCTGGAACACCAAATTGGTTTTGCTCTCGTTCTATTTCGGCAGCTTCTTGACCGATGAGGACTGCTTTCTGACAGTATCTGCTTGTTAAACTATATCTAGTTGGTTTTGAAAGTTCCGAATTACAATTCGTGGGTGGAAGAACGACGTCAGTTCAGTAGGGGGACTCAGGTCAATTCTTCAGTAATCAGTGTCAAATTCTGCATTGAGTAACGTATCTTTGAAAAACACCTGAAGAAGAACTTTTTCGAATAAGTTCAGTTTCGACGAATATCTTGTTTAAATTTGAGAGAAGATGAATCTTCTCGGAGAAAATTACGTTTTACTTGACGATGCCCTGAGTCACCCTATTGAATTGACGTCGTTTTTCCACCCACGAATTGTAATTCAGAACCTTCAGAATCAACTAGATATAGCTCAACAAGCAGACACCGTCAGAAAGCAGATCTCATCGGTTAAGAAGCTGCTGAACTAGAACGAGAGCAAAATCGATTTGGTGTTCCAGGGCAGTTTCCAGGAGGTAAAGTTTTTTTCCACCTTGTTGTAATTCAGCTTTGTATTTCTAGAGGAAACCTTTAATATTCACCATGAATTTTCGTGTTACAAGAGGAATTGATATGAGTTTCGAAGAAAGTGTATCACTTTGTTTGTTCTGGAACTCTCTATTGCTACTAGTGCATACAATGGCTTTTAGATGTAGATGGGGTTGGAAACTTTGTTGTATCGACGTTGCTGAGGTTGTTATCTGTTTGCACATAGGCTAATTCGCGAAATATTGCCGTTGTACCATTAGGTAACTTCAATTCTGTAACCATGTTTTGCGTCAATAGAACATTCATGCCCGGAACTAGCGATAAGTATCCAGGTAGACATTTTATTGTATTATCTGGTAATTCTAGAAAGTGCTAGTGAAAATCTGGATTGTCGATGTTAATTTTCAATTCGTCTTGAGCAATGTATACCAACGGCTTAACATCCTTTTCAAATGATTCGAACACAGCAGCTAGAACATTCAATTCAGTTCGTAATTCATTTCTGAAGACGAGGATTGGTGCTTTTTCCATTCATCTGTATTGAGAGATTTCACATCGTGATTTGGGTCTATAATTCGTGTCGTCAGTAATTCATGGTTATCAACTGTACATTCGCCTTTCCGAAGACGTTGAAGAAGTTGCAGATATCTTGAGTCACTGGTTCTCATCTGCTTTTCTAACTTTACTACAGTGTTTATTTGCTCCCACAGTGCTCGTCCCGATGCACAGGTAACAGCACGTATCTCTTTGATTTTTTCTTCTTCTGTGTTTTATCGGAAATAATGTCAGAATACAATGATTGATCTCCCACAGGATCGTACTGGATGAAATCTCCAAAGAATATGACGTTAACGTCTGCAAATGGTATGGTTGGACCGTAGTGCTTGGTTAGCATCAACAAACCACCAAGCTGTCCTAATAAGTAAAGACCCACCATTGACATCTCATCAATAATTATGTATCGAACATGTCGCCATTCTTTTTTGATCGTTGTTGGTTGAACTGCGCTTATCTTTTTTAGATTTCTATATGATGTGAAAGAGTGAATTGTGAGACCGTCAATCTGGGCTGCAGCATTCGATGTTGGTGCTAGTTTTCGTAGTTCATGACTGCGTTTTGTTATTGAAAAATACTCTGCAATTGCAATGTATCAGCTGAGATTTCCTGTGCCATCAGGACCAGGTACACACATTAATAACTGATCTTGCTTATTGTCTGAAGTACAAGATGAGACAGATATTTAAGATCAGAAACAGCAAGATTAAATGTTACCTTTTTCAAGTGGTTGTCTCCATTGATCTGATCGGTAATGATCATGAACGCACGCGTTTGAGCTTCGTTCAACGTGAATTGTTTGGATTCCTGGTGTTTCCGGAACAATATGGCTGTGATGCTTGTCACTTATTCAGTTAGTGATTGAATATCACTTTCGTTATCTAGGTCTACCACATTTCGATTTACGTTCATCGCTTCCGTAAGATTTTGGTCTTCATGCTCTCGTTCTTCATCGTTTAGCATTTTCTCTTTGGTTCTATGTGCATGACACGACGTACTTGTCAAATGTGAAAATCTACCAGTTTGTTTAATCGAAAGAATTGCATGGTGAATATACACATCATTTGGCTTCATTATTTGTGGATCGGACTCAGTCGTAATGTTATCGTGGCCATCGTCGAATTCCAGCAGTGCAATGAGAACACCTGAATCATACATCTCGCTTAGGTCGTCTGAAGCAAAATTTTTCGGTATACATCCAAAGAACAAGTTCCGGTCTCAATTTTCGAAGAAAATATCTTTTTGGTAAATTTTCTTTGGGTTTTGGATTAATTTCCAAATTTAATCCCAAATATCTTTGATAGAAATCAGCTGCTGTTTCATTTTCCTTTTGAACGCAACGGCTACGTTCAATTTTCAAAGCCTCTATCCTTT